TTTTATATCTGGAGGTTTATACCCTACTTCACAGTTTCAAAAACGCAGACTCGTCGTTTTAATATGAATTCGCTTGTCAAACATAAATCTTCTCACGTGTCTCGCAGCGCAGACAGGACTTTCAATCCGGATCGGATCAATAAAGCGCAAACTTCTCCGATGTTTTCTTATAACTTCGCCCCTCGTTCGCATTCGAGTCACAATCCTGCCATAACAAGTTTCGTTCATAATCCTCACGTAAAGCAATCCCGAAACACGAATGTTTTTGAGATATATTTACAAAGGAACTCCAGTGTCAGTTGAAATTGGACGTCAAGGGACGTGTCAACTTCTTCCATGGTCGTGAAAAAATTGCTTCGCATCAGTGATCCTTTTGCTCGTATCTCTCGNGAAATCAAGGGGCTTACCATCGATTCAAACACTTTGGCAAATGTAGGAAGAATAGAAATTGGCCTGTAGTTATCAACATGACCCAGATGACCAGACTTATGTAAAGGTAGAACCAATGATGTCTTCCAATTCGATGGGAATGTGCCGGTACTCAATGATTTGTTGAATATGCGTGATAATGGATATGCAAGAACATCGGNACATCACACTCGCGTTTATTTTAGATCCCAAATAAATACATTCGAATTCAAATTCTGTATTTGTATTATTGGTGGGTACTACCTTATGCGTCCTGAATAAAACTTAGGGACTCTACCATTACTTTGGGATAATAAATCGTAGATGATAAGGATTAGGTACCTACCACAAAAAGCTGGGTTACCATTGTGAGATCCTATTTATGTCAGCTAAAACAATAAATGTACTAGCTAGATAGGTAGAAGTCAGTGACATAATTATTGTCCCTATTATCATTTCTAATAAGAATTCCACATTGTTGGTTATTATAATATAATATTTATTCATGTACCTAAATAAAAAGAAATGAATAACAAAATAATCTAGTTTGTGTTATAGGGTGAAACGTTCTTCTATGTCTATTATTTAGGAAATATTTACAGATAGTATAGATAAGAATGAGTGCAATAATAGTGGTTCAAGTTGTAAAAGACTTTCATAGTCTACAATTTACAATAAAAATATTTGGATTCGTTTGAGAGTTGGAGCGTGTTTTTATGTGCGTGTATATTATGTACGGTTATGGGAAAAATTCAATTCAATTCAGGATTCAGCTCCCAACCGCCAAGATAACCTCGGTTACTTGTTTGTCCAGCTTTTNGTCTGAATCTGTATGACCAAAAACTACCTCAAATGGTGTTAACTCAGTTACAGAGTGGATGGTGTGGTTATATGCCATTACTGAATATGTCATAACTGATGCGGCATCTGTACATCGTCTTTCGTATTTAGCCAATCTATAGATCTCTATAATTGTCGAGTGAAAGCGTTCGATAAGTCCCATAGAATTAGGGTTATTTGGGGTTCCGATGTGAAGTTCAACTTTATGTAAATTTAGAAATTCTTTCATGAGTTCGTTATTAAATTCGGTTCCTGGATCTGAGCTTATACGTTTTGGAATTCCGTAGAATGAGAAATATTTCATAAGTGCTCTAGTAACGTCTGATGTTGATTTGCTAGGTATCTCTATTGCTTGTCCTAATTTGCTGAAGGCGTCAATTAGGGTTAAATATGTGATTCCTTCAATACTGAAGAGATCAATGAAAATTTCCTGAAATGGGGAATCTTGNCAGCTTTTACAATAACAGTCCTTAGCCGGTCTGGGACAGGACAGGACCAAACGAAATGGGAGTCCATTTAGCGCGACCAAGACTTCCTTTCACGTCGCACAGATGTTTAATTGTCATACAAATCACGTTCATACATTCACCCTACGGAGCGTTCAAAGATAACAGCATAATGTGGGATTGAATATTCCCTTTGAACGACAGTTGAAAAGAGATTCTGGGAACCGACCCACCTGACGTTTGCGGCACAGTGCGGCGACGCACAGTAAGCGAGGGATTGTAGAGCAATATTTTAATTATTACTTAGTTAACAATCAAACTCTTAGCAAACTTTTAAGAATTTCCTAGGTACCTAGTTTACCTCTTTAGTTTAGTATTGAATTAGATATTATCTAATTCAATACTTTTTATGACGTTATGATGCATCAAGAATTTATTTCTTAAAAAAAGTTGATATGGCATTTAATCAGCGCTTTATGAAACTTGTTTTATGATTCAATGTTAAATGAATTCGGATGCATATTATTTTTAGTTGTTTTAACTTATTTCATTAACGTAAAACTAAGACATCGGCGCCGGCGCAGGCCTACTGAGATTATTTATACTACGTATAGAATTGACAGTATGGTCATTAGTACAGTCTGTGGAGAGGGGACATAAATTACAAGAAATTAACCTGAATTACTGTCAGTTTTGATTACTGATAGGGACAATTAAAAGCAGGTATCGTACAAGTTTCAGTGTACTTTGGGGTGGAATAAATAATTAGAAATGTCCACTTTGATGGAAATTACTAGTCGCGGCCCGATGGGATTTCCCAGAGCCCATCCATTAAATGGAAACGAGTGACATTCATACGAGCTCCCATACGTCATCATCAATGCCACCCTGCAGTTACTGTAATGTATGAGTATACCTATTTACCCGACTGCGCCAGAAGGAGGGTTATGTTTTTTTATGCAACTACTTTATGAATTCCACAATGTGGAAACCCTTGGGGGAGGCCTTTGTCCAGCAGTGGACGTCATTTGGCTGAAACGACGACGACGACGACGACTTTATGAATTGTTATTATTCTTTTGTTTGTTGTTTCTTAGGGTGGATTCGACCAAACAAGAGTAATACCAAATAATCTCAGAATAAATCGTCAGTTTGACATATTTCATATACTGAAACTGTCAATATTATGTCAGTTATACCAGGAGTTATTCTTCTCGGATAAAAGTTTGGTCGAATCGGGCCTTAATGTGTTAATCGACTATTGGGTAAAATATTTTGTTTCAACCTCTTTTAATACCTCCTCATCAATTTTTTTAGCTTTTTATACTGCTTAATTTTGATATCACATAAAATAAGCCATGCTTTTAACTAGGCTAAGTGGTTTCGCTTGTTCGTGATTTGCATCACTCAGCGTAGTTGACTTTAAAAGAAGCATTGATCCGTGCTCAATAATAATAACAAAGCCTAAATGTTGGAATAAAACTAATGTATGGTAGAGTCTGAATCGAATTTGTATCACTTCATAATACGGGTCTAAATTGCACAAATATTTTAACAAAATACCGCGCTGCCACCTTTTATTATCCTACACAGTATTCATAATCATGTTCACGTGTCCTCGTAACCTGATAGAGCCCTGAATAATGTATTTCCATAAACAATAAACACAGCTCCTCCCACGCGCCGTCAGATGCTCTCCATCCCACAGGAATGTCACTGTCATTGACAGCTCCTGTCTCGTCAAGGACTAACTAACTTCCTGGCTGTATAAAATAAAAGTAAATTAGTTATGTATGATATTGGGACGTGCATAAGTGAATAGAATACTTACACTTTATTGATCACAGTAAGCACAAATTATAAACAATAACAACACAAAACGAATATAGAAAATAGTGGACCACTGCGTCAATAGGCTCCCGCTCAGAATTTATCCTGACATGCTCGTAAGGGCATGTCAAGAAACTGGTCTTCCGCGAGAGCCCTTGTTGTAACTTCGCGCAAAGTGCTTAAAAAGGCCTATAAAGAAGTATTTTATTTTGAAACATTAATGTTATAGGTGGATTATTCATCTTTCTTTATATTTCTATAAAGATTTGGTTTAGCATTTGCACTATCTGCAACTGGTATAGGTTACCTGCTAATTTAAGAAATAATTTGGCGTCAAAAACTTACCGAAATAAATGCTATGATAACCAATTTAAGATCGCCTTGAAAAAGCTTCTTGAAATTTTATGGGATTATTATCGATACAAATATCTTTATTATCGATAAAATATCTTTATTGTCGATAAAATATCATCTTTATAATAATCCCATATTTAAAACTAGTGTGCCATTTATTAAAACAAGGTTGTTTAAGTACCACGAAACGAGTAATTATAGTCAAATCGAACCCGCGACCCTCGGGCAATGGCTAACACCCGCCTCACGACGCCATCGCACCCATGGCCGACCTAGCGCTTGGTTTAATGCTCAGATCATATGATCTGAGGTTTAATGATACTTAATTGTAGAGTCACTACTTCATACAGATTGGTTTTAACTATTAGTTTGGCCAAACCGTATATTATACATGAATAGAGCATATTGGTGGACTAAAAAGTTTGAAGTCTTACATTTTACAAAGAAACTGTTCTTATAATTTTGAGCTCTACCAATCCTTAGAGTATACCGTTTAGTATTTTTAATCTTTACCAAGCCAAGCCTCGTACTGTAGCGTCGTATGTAAGTCGTTGTAATGCGGACAATTTTTCTAGGAAAATGTATAAGCTGACTATAATCCAACTTCATAGAAATATTCATTAATTTGTATGGGTGCGTCAAACGCGTACTCACGACTCGCCATCTGCTTCCCAGAGGCCTTAATCTTATTGCTCCAACGTGCTACTTTAAATCTCTGAATCATAAGAATTACATTTAAACTGTTTTACAATGTTTTAAATTGAATCATTCGAACTTAAACTAGGCAATTGTCTTTGATTCGAACATAACGAAGTCTCGCGAACAAACAATAACTTTTAACGCCCACATAAAGCTAACGGAGATGGGTCACAAATGAAATATAAAACCTTCCTCATAAAACGAAGGTAAATAACTTTATTGCGGGCTGTAATATTAATTTAGACCCCCCACACAAACAGGGGGTCCTTTATTTGTTTCTATACTAGGCATCCGNACTGAAATACTGATAGCCAATACGCGGACTGAAGAACGAACGCATGCTGCCAGTGTCGATCATCATGCGAGCATCCAGTTCCGGTAGGTAAATATATGGTAATGTTAATTCCGGATCGCAATTAATGTTTATCTGTTCTGTTCTTTGATGGAGGCTGTTTCGTGAAAATCCTGTTGGAATTCAGTTTCCTGGGTTTCCTCGGGAGTTTCCTCGAAATCAGGGTAATACTGTTCGCTGTACATGTTATTATATTCGTCTATAGGGTATTCACAATAATATTGATCGTAATACGACTGTTCTGCTTCGTCGTAGTTCAGATCATTTAAGTTTGTTTCATTTACATTGTTTGGTTTTGTAGCCGTACGCATAGACACGTCGGTCAGCTGCATACGTGGCGGCTGGACTTGTTGGGCTTGCTGAGCACCGAACTGTGGCTTATAGCCGAATTGAGGCGGTTTGTAACCGAATTGCTGAGGAGGATGTCTATAGCCAAATTGCTGGGGCGGTCTATATCCGAACTGCTGTGGAGGCCTGTAGCCGAACTGCTGCGGCGGCCTGAAACCTGGTTGATGCGGAGGCTTGAAATAGCCGAATTGTTGTAAAGGTTTATTTCCATATTGCTGGAAGGGTTTGTAGCCTTGATTAGGCGGAAGGCCAAATTTAAATTGTGGAGGAATTATCGGTTTGAAAGCATTAGNAGGTTTAATGATACTTAATTGTAGAGTCACTACTTCATACAGATTGGTTTTAACTATTAGTTTGGCCAAACCGTATATTATACATGAATAGAGCATATTGGTGGACTAAAAAGTTTGAAGTCTTACATTTTACAAAGAAACTGTTCTTATAATTTTGAGCTCTACCAATCCTTAGAGTATACCGTTTAGTATTTTTAATCTTTACCAAGCCAAGCCTCGTACTGTAGCGTCGTATGTAAGTCGTTGTAATGCGGACAATTTTTCTAGGAAAATGTATAAGCTGACTATAATCCAACTTCATAGAAATATTCATTAATTTGTATGGGTGCGTCAAACGCGTACTCACGACTCGCCATCTGCTTCCCAGAGGCCTTAATCTTATTGCTCCAACGTGCTACTTTAAATCTCTGAATCATAAGAATTACATTTAAACTGTTTTACAATGTTTTAAATTGAATCATTCGAACTTAAACTAGGCAATTGTCTTTGATTCGAACATAACGAAGTCTCGCGAACAAACAATAACTTTTAACGCCCACATAAAGCTAACGGAGATGGGTCACAAATGAAATATAAAACCTTCCTCATAAAACGAAGGTAAATAACTTTATTGCGGGCTGTAATATTAATTTAGACCCCCCACACAAACAGGGGGTCCTTTATTTGTTTCTATACTAGGCATCCGTGCTTTATTAGTGGGTAATTAAAAGGTACGGTATCTAAAAACCTTTGTAAACAACGTAAGAGTATCTACATGATTTTGAGTGTAAATAATTTTAGATAACCTTTTTTTAATCCTTTGTTATTTCCTTGGGCCGCACATAATGTATTGTATACCTGGAGAATAGTCATATTTTTGGCGAGGCAATGAAACAAAAAGGCAATATTTTAAATTGATCAATTTGTTTGGATTTCATTTTATTAACGATGCCGTAAAGCGCGCAGGAGTGTTTGTGTTAATTGCTTTTTCTAGGCCGCTTTTCGCTACGTTAATTGATTAGTTTTTAATGGTTCATATTCCGTTTATTTTTAACGAGTTGTTTCCATTAAAATAAATGGAAAAAAAGTATTATAATCGGTACGAGTAAAGCTGATGGCACGTGCATGAAACTGCAAACTAGGCGTGGGTGTACTGCTACATGAAAATGTAGAGACTGAACAGAAAGCTTACTGAAATATTTTACGCTTCTTATTCTCATACTAGTAAAAATATTGTGTCTTGAAGTGGTGGTAGAGCAAGCTATCTTTTAGACTTATATTCCAGTGCTTTGAACTCTGTGTTGCATGATCATTCAGTAATGATTGCCTTTTGTAGAAGTATGGACTATGAAGGTACCAAACCTTATCATATAAACTAATTATGATTCTTATCTTTTACAATAATATAAAGGAGATATAGAACTTTGTAACATATAGGTATAAATAAGTACTATAAATCTAGGTGAATGGCAACAATGCAAAATATTTTTTGTTTTGAAAAGCCTATAAAATATACAATTTCAAGTAAAGCACCGATGAGATTCGTTCGTTATTTTTATTTGATCAAATCATTCGTGTTGCGCTCAACCAATTACCTCTGTTGATTGATAACTGAATCAATAAAATGTTGTGTTGCAATACAAAGGTTTATTTAGATCACGCATTTAGTGCGAGGGTTTGGAACAGCTTATTCTCAGGACAGACATTCTGATATTTTATAAACGTAGCAATGTAGAATACAGACTGCTTCATACATTCAATTTTAAATGGTTTTGTTGAACTATCTGGATACTTGCAGGAATCCTTCGAGTAGTCTTTAGGTGTCCATTAATGAATTCCGTCTGGATTAATCGTAATAAATAATGGATCATATTGTGTTTATTGTATGCGGTTTAGGATTCACGATACAAAAAGGGTGATATTGTAATCTGCTGATTTTAACTGACCGTGTGTCTCCTTCCTTGATTTGTGGTTTGGGATTACATAACATCAAAATAAAAGCCTCTAAATCTGTAAGGCACGATATCTTTGACAGGCTGGAGTTAAAGTTAATATTAACGTAACTAAAAATATTACACAGCCACGTAGAGCCATAATTTCTTTATAGTTTAAAACAAAATTGCTTGTAAGTACATAATTTAAGCGACATGTTTCTCAGAACGTTTTTTGCTTGAATATTCTGTTTTTGGTACGTCAAAAAAGGGAGTACATAATAATATGAGCGATCGCATGCTACCTACCTCGAACAGCGCCGGAGGCTGGCATTACATTGTTGCTTTCGAACAAGCGAACGGGAAATCTCCCATAGCGAGAGATCTGATACACGACCTGCAGGGAAACCGATAACGTTGCAGGCAGATAGAAATTTGATACGTTTTAAGAAGTGCCAAGAATGATTGGTAAAAGTATAACCGTGTAATCGTATAATATCATAATCGTGAGCTACGGAAACAATATCGAACCGGCAAAACCTTAATAAATAGCTAGTCTCTCTTGGTGTAAGTGGCGTTACTTTTATTATAAGTCTAGCTGCACTTATTTATTTTCAAATCCTTGACTATTAAATCAACCAAATCCACCAAATAACCTCCTTTGGATATGCACCGCTTGCTTGCACATGCTTATTGTGTTGCAACGCAAAACACTGATTTGACTCATCATAAAGCTGGCTAGGTATTCTCTGAAAACTCTAATTTAAAATCTTAAGTACAACCGCATACATTGTAACAGCTGTTTCCTACAATTTGCGACTTCTGTACAGCGCCGCCATTTCAACTCGGAGCGGCCACAATTTGTTCAAATCCACTAATATCCTGATTAACCGACATAACTGCCGGCAAAATGGCGGCTTTCCTAAATTACTGTAATGTCTTTCGTTCTGATGCTCGGATGGTTACTTTAATGGAGGTGTGGAGCGAGACAGCATATGAAGTTGAACTGTGGCATCTTATGGCAGTTGAAATAGGTGTTATTTTAGTCTAATGAACTAGAGAATATTCACGAATCCTTGGTGGTTAGTAAAAGTTCATTTTCATTACATAAATATTATTGTATCGTGTGTAATAATGTGTTCGTTGTGTGTATCGCAATATAGGAGACATCCAGACATCCAGACATCCAAACTTTCGCATAATATTAGTAGGACTAGCATCTATTTATACTTCACAACATTCTGAATAACTTATATTCACGAGTCTTAGAATGATTTCAGGCAAATAATTAACATCTTATCAGCAGCAACTCTTATTAGATTATATTTTTTTTCGTAATATCGTTTCTTATATTTGCAATATAGTCGATATTACATTTTAAGTCCTCCTATATTGTTCTGATTAAACTCGTTGCGGTTTTCCCCTAAGACTACGTAATCTTCACTGCTTGGGATTCATTTACGGTCCAATCTTAGATGTACAAGAGAATCGTACAGGCCTCGGTAGATAGGAATAATCTAATCACTATAAAATTAGTTATTCATGACTACATTATATGTCACATTATTTTTGTGAACCAAATAGAAAATATACGGTTCTATTNATGTAATACCAAGTCCAGGACAGGAAATCTTTAACGTTTTACATAAATATATTGACTTGGCCATCGCATGAAAACACGTGTAAATTAAATTATTTAGTGCGATGGCCAAGTCAATAATTTATGTAAAACGTTAAAGATTTCCTGACCTGGACTTGGTATTACATGGATCTCACAACTTTTTACCGTAGAACAACTGAGTTGCGAGACTTGGTTTTTTTGACAAGTATTGTTTTTGATGGGTAACTTTATTGCGGGCTGTAATATTAATTTAGACCCCCCACACAAACAGGGGGTCCTTTATTTGTTTCTATAGTAGTATTCGTGCTTTTTTAGTGGGTAATTAAAAGGTACGGTATCTAAAAACCTTTGTAAACAACGTACGAGTATCATAGATTTTGAGTGTAAACAATTTTAGATAACCTTTTTTTAATCCTTATTTCCTTGGGCCGAACATAATGTATTGTATACCTGGAGAATAGTCATATTTTTGGCGAGGCAATGAAACAAAAAGGCAATATTTTAAATTGATCAATTTGTTTGGATTTCATTTTATTAACGATGCCGTAAAGCGCGCAGGAGTGTTTGTGTTAATTGCTTTTTCTAGGCCGCTTTTCGCTACGTTAATTGATTAGTTTTTAATGGTTCATATTCCGTTTATTTTTAACGAGTTGTTTCTATTAAAATAAATGGAAAAAAGTATTATACTCGGTACGAGCAAAGCTGCTGGCACGTACACTAAACTGCAAACTAGGCGTGGGTATACAGCTATACGTTAAGTAATATTAGAGCCTGAATAGAAAGCTTACTGATATTTCTAGCGCTCCTTTTTCTCATACTAGCCAATATTATGTTTTGAAATGTTGTTCTAACAAGCAATCTTTTAACTTATATTCAGCACAACAATTAGTCCAGTGCTTTGAATTGAACTGTGTGTTGATTGAGCATTCAGTAATGATTGCCTTTGTAGAAGTGTGAACCACGACGATTGGTATCTAACAAATATTTAAAAGAATTATGATTCTTTAAATCTTTTACATTAAAATAAAGTCGCTACATAGAACTTTCTTACCGTCATGGGAAAATACATAAATAAATATAAATCTAGGTGAATGGTAACAATGCAAAATATTTTTTTTTTGTTTTGAAAGCCTATAAAATATACAATTTCAAATAAAGCACCGATGAGATTCGTTCGTTATTTTTATTTGATCAAATCGTTCGTGTTGCGCTCAACCAATTACCTCTGTTGATTGATAACTGAATCAATAAAAATTTTGTGTTGCAATACAAAGGTTTATTTAGATTACGCACTTTAGTGCGGGGTTTTGGAAGAGCTTATTCTGAGGACAGACATTCTGATATTATATGTATGTATAAATAGCTTCCTTGATTTGTGGTTTGGGATTTCATAACATCAAAATAAAAGCCTCTTAAACTGTAATGCACGAAATCTTTGACAGGCTGGAGTTGAAGTCAATTTAACGTGACTAAAATTATTACACAGCTACGTAGAGCCATAATTGACGACATGTTTCTGAGAACGTTTTTTGCTTGAGTATTCTGTCAAAAAAGGGAGTACATAATAATATGAGCGATCGCATGCTACCTACCTCGAACAGCGCCGGAGGCTGGCATTACATTGTTGCTTTCGAACAAGCGAACTGGAAATCTCCCATAGCGAGAGATCTGATACACGACCTGCAGGGAAACCGATAACGTTGCAGGCAGATAGAAATTTGATACGTTTTAGGAAGTGCCAAGAAAGATTGGTAAAAGTATAGCCTTGTAATCGTATAATATCATAATCGTGAGCTATGGAATCAATATCGATCCTGCAAAACCTTAATAAATAGCTAGTCTCTCTTGGTGTAAGTGGCGTTACTTTTATTATAAGTCTAGCTGCACTTTTTTATTTTCAAATCCTTGACTATTATCAACCAAATCCACTAATTTATTTATTTATTTATTTATTCATGAATAGAACGGTAGTACCAATTACACTATTCAAACAAGACGTAACAAAGCTCCTTTAAAGTTAAGTTAAGTTTATTTAAGCTAAATAACCTCCTTTGGATATGCACCGCTTGCTTGCACATGCTTATTGTGTTGCAACGCAAAACACTGATTTGACTCATCATAAAGCTGGCTAGGTATTCTCTGAAAACTCTAATTTAAAATCTTTAGTGCAACCGCATACATTGTAACAGCTGTTTCCTACAATTTGCGACTTCTGTACAGCGGCGCCATTTCAACTCGGAACGGCCACAATTTGTTCAAATCCACTAATATCCTGATTAACCGACATAACTGCCGGCAAAATGGCGGCTCTCCTAAATTAC